AATCGAACAAAGCGTTTCAGCAATATAAATTTTTTAACTCATTAGTACTATTTATAGAAAAGTAGTCGTGATTCAATTTGAAGAACTGATAACACAAATTGGCATCTTTACTAAAAAAGAACTACTGTGCAAATTTTCATCAAAATCGGAGCCGACAAATTAAAAAAAATTAAAAAATTCGTCAATCTGTAGAGAATTGCTGTTCTTTCCTGTGGAATGCGAGATTACGGCTGACGAACTGTAGGCCTGTACCAAATCATCTAAAAATATGAAGACCCCAGCTTTCAACCAAATCATGAATTTGGAACTCAAACACCTGAGTTCCAGATTCTTCAATCTGCCGAGGAAAACAACTTATTGCTCGAGGAGCAGTTTGGCTTCCGTGAAGGACGCTCGACTGTTCACCAGCTCACTCGAGTAACAAACATTCTAAAACGGAACAAGACTGTATCTAAAACATCTGCCATGGCATTGTTGGACGTTGAAAAAGCGTTCGACAGAACATTCAGAGTTTCTCTCAATGGCATCACATCGGATGCTTTCCTCATCGGTGCGGGTGTCCCACAGGGAAGCATGGATGGCCCCATCTTGTTCAACCTGTTCACCTCCGATATGCCGGCTCTCCCTGATGGTGGATCGTTGTCACTGTTCGCAGATGACACATCCATCATCTTTAACGGTAGGGTCATCGGAGCTTTGACCGCCAAACTTCAGGGAGGCCTAAATGTCCTGTCAGAATACTGCAACAGCTGGAAGATCCGTATCAACGCGGCAAAGACCCAGGTCATCATCTTTCCTCATTCCTCATTCCAAATCACCCAGACTTGTTCCGTCTGAGAATAATAACATCAACTTGAACGGCACAATGGTGAAATGGTCAAAAGAGATAGTATACCTCGGCCTTACACTCCACAGCAAGCTGCTTTTCAGGGAACACACTGACAAAACAAAAACCAAATGTAACACCCTGATGAGATCCTTATATCCACTCATCAACAGGCGATCCACTCTATCCCTAAAAAACAAGCTTGCTGTCTATAAGCAAGTAATCCTTCCTGTAATAGAATACGGGGTGCCAATCTGGGAGAGTAGCGCAAATTCCCATCACCTCAAATTACAAAGGATCCAGAACAAGTTTTTGATAATGATCCTCAACAGTCCTCCACGAATGAGGAACTCTGAGTTCCATCGCCTGGCTGGTCTTCAGACGCTGGAGTTATAGAGAACAGCTACCATCCAAAGGATCAGAAATTGCTGTAGGCAATCCGATCAGCTGGTCATTAGGGATCTGGCACGTTAGGTTAAGGTTTAGATTAAGTAGGTAGCTTATAATAAATTTAAATTCAATCAAAACACACCCCCAAGGGGTATTCTGTAAACTAGTCGAAAACGCAAATATTAAATTAGAACAGCAAATGAGTAGCGGCGCCGGTGATGTAGTGGTAAGCGTGATTACCTCTCACCCCAGCAGGCCTGGGTTCAATCCCAGTCGGCGCCGCCGGGATGTTCTGAGGCATAACATCTCTGATGGAAGCCGGTGGTCCCCGGTTCATGAGTTGTGATGGGTCGATAGGTAGGGTCCAGGTGTGGGAGCTGCCTCCCTGGCGTCGGTAGCATTGGTGCTCAGCACGGAAAACAAGATCGACGGAAAGCAAATCAAAGGAAAAAAAAAACAGCAAATGAAATAAAGATGAAGAGCCAGGTAGGCTAATCAATTAAAATGTTAAATCAATGTTCTATCATAATCAACAGAAATAAACATAATGTTACTACTACTGCTTCAACTCATTTTCGCTTCGGACGGTGGGTGAGCAGGTAGCAGCAGCAGTAGGAAGGCAGCGGTTCCTGTCAAACACACAGCGTTAGAGTTTTGCACCTCGAACCTTGCGCGTCGTTCCCGTCGAGATCACTGGCTATTGGCAGCACCGTCACCTCGATGACGCAAGCGCTCCGAAGTGGATCCACCTCCTTGCCTGAATGACAACGATCCCACGTTCTACAAATCTCGATTACTTTTTCGAAAGGACATATCAGCTTTTGTAAACAACGGATTTTATCGTCGGTTCGGCGTAGCTGAAAGCTCGCCCACGCAAACTGACACCACTATATCAGGTAGGGAAAAAAATTCCCTATCTGATGGTAGTGTTAGCATGCGTGGGTGAGCTACCTGTTACGCCAAATCGACGATCAAATGCGTTGTTTGCAAAAACTGATACATCCCTTCGAAAAAGTAACCGAGAAATACTTTTTGGGCTGTGTACCAATTGCCGAGTTAAATTTAACTCATGGTTAAACGTGAAATTTCAAAAGTTATTTTGCCAAAATTTGACTTCTAGTCGGTCAGAAATAACCACGCTCGGATAGCAGGGCTATTCGATAACTCATCTGTCACTTTTAACCACGAGTTAAATTTGACTCGCCCATTGGGACACAGCCTTGGAAGTAAAATTAGGGACCATTCATAAATGACGTAAAATTACCCCCCCCCTTCGTAGCGTGTTTTGCTATACCTAATACATGGCTGGTCACAACTTCTGAAACCCCTCTTCCCCCTAAACTACTACGTTATTTATGATCCATCCATTATTTTGCATTAGAAAACAGGGTGTTTCTGTGGTGGGAAAAAAAAAGGATTTCCCTACACGGATTACAGATTTCTGTACCAAGCACTGAAATTATCAGACGGTACCTCTATTTATGCTTTTAGGTAAGCTAAGATAAATTTATGCTATAGAACGGTTTATATAAATCTCAGATTTTTTTCTTTATAAAGATTTGTAAAATCCCAGAATTTTCCAAGTAGGAAGGACTTACAATGCTTATCTCTTAGCATAAATAGATGTACCGTCGATTTTTTCATTGTTATGTATTGAAATTCGACAGTGAGCGTTGAAAAGGGCCTACTTGCAATGATCGATTTTCTCCTTACATTGCTATAGATAACCCAAGTAACATTGCAGGTTTTATCACGGTTTTATAGCATTCTACAAGTCTAAATCATGGTCTACAGAACCTTCATAAAACTTGGGAAGCGAAACAATTCAAGCTGAACATTAGGTCCTAATTAACATTGACAAGATTCCTTCGTCGACTTTCTCCTTGTATCCCCTTGGCCATGTAAAGACATTCCCAGGTATTTTCAGCACACAGATCGATAAAAGAAGCTTTTATCTAGCATCTCTTATACGACAAACACATCAAGAAACGATTATATGCTCCAGTTATTAACGAAAGAGAAAGTCGACGAATTGAATCGATCAATGTTACTTAGGACCTAAAGCAATGTTCAGCTTGAAAACTATCTGAATTTTTTTCAATGTAGTGCTGTAACAGGTTGTATTGGCTATTAAAAGCAACAGCTAACGCACCGAGAAATGTTAATCCAAGCGAGTTAATAACAAAAGATAAAACCGATCATCGCGGTTACGTTCTTATGTATGCTAACTGTAGAATTTGTAATCTGGGATAGATATGGAAGTCACTTTTTTCCCACCTCAGAAGCGTCCAGTGTTCTTATGCCAAATGATGCATGTGCGTCTACATAACAATATTTTTGCTCTATCGGTAGATAAAAGATGTGCCGAGAACTTACTGGAGGGACTTATGACTAATCGAGATATTCCCGATAAACTACGAAATGTTGCATAACATTGGTGCAAAATTGTGCACTTCCTTTTTTTTGTGCGTTTTTTTTTACATTTTGAAGTTGAATCGCTATGGAAACCTTATTACTAATCAATCTCAGTACTACATAAAAATGTCAAGAGCACAAATATCAGCTCTTACAAAACTTATAACAAAGAAACTGGAACTTCACGTTTGCTGCAGTGCAGTACACAAGGAGTTTCAATTTCATGAGCGATGTCACAACTGTCCAAGATTTGTTATTAAGCCATCATGACGGTCATTGTTGAACGCTTCAATGAATCATCTGAAGAAAGCCTTACTCATATCTGATTGTAATTTAGGAACCAAATGTAATGTAATATGTATGCGCATTTTTATGAGATCCTGATTTTAACCAAGTTTTACTAAGTAGGAAATCCAAAATATGTACATAGGACCGAAATCATAGGTTGCTTCTAATGTATTTTAAATCAATATCTAGAAAAATGCAAAAAAAAATCACTACACAGCTTAACGTAGTCTACGTCAACCATATCCATTCTTATACACAACCCCACAATTTTTATTTTTATTTAACAATACGTTTCGATTACTTTTTCAAAGGGATGCATCTGCTTTTATAAACAAATATTCAAACGTCAATTTGGGTAATGTCTCCCCAACAAGATGGTGATGTTAGTTTGTTAATCAATGTATAACATTTAAACAACGACAACACTAAAAAACATCAACGAACCAAAAGATTTTCCCATCCATAATCTCAAGAAAACCGGAACCAAAACCGTTTCCTCTCCTGTCAACCAAGCAACAAATATCTTCATATTTTCCGCAACAATTTACCTCCGAAGGAAAAATCCCTCGAATAACACTTGAGAGCATTCGCCATAAAAAAAACAAACCCTCCCCCAGCGGCAGCCGGGAAGAATGAAATAACTTATAAAGCAACATGTTGCAATATGCGTGGCAGCTTCACTTCCTAGAAGAAACGAATCAAGAATATCAACCACCACCGTCAGCTCCACGTCAGGAAGGAAGCGGCCCGCCGCCCGGAGAAGATCCGGCACAGAGGGAAGCACATCTACGGCATCATTTCCATATATCTCCTTCCTTGGTCTTGTGCAATCCGCGTCCGACGCCTCTAAACAAAACCGACCCAGCATCAACGTGAAGAAATCCCCCGGAGCTCACAGAAATCCGTCATCTCGAGCTCGGAGAAAACAGTCATTCTCTGCGCTGCAACCCAACCCATCCTTCTAGAATCAAAACCTCACTCGTTTCATCATATTCGCAATGGCATCCTATCATAGTTTTATTCACATCTACCCACTTATATGGCATACGAGAGTGAGTATATTGTTTGGCTTTATTTCCAGCGCCCGAGGTCCTGATCGTAGACGAGGAAGGCGAACCGCTCTACGACAAGTACTACGAAGTCGGTTCGACGATAAAGCTGATGTGCCGAATACGGCACATGTCGATGCTGCGATCCGCCGTCTACTGGATCCACAACGAGAACATCTTGAACCACGACGTCCAGAGGGGCGGCATCAGGTGAGTTCACCCCCTCCTATTTCGACCCAGTTTAATATTGGTTTAGTGTTTTACGATCGTTCATCTGTTTATAATGAAGAAAACGGTTGGATTCAGGTTGAGATTTTAATAGCACCCGCGCTAAGTCAGTGAACGTAGTTAATTAAGTTCCTCGCTCTAGACGGCAAGAGCAAATAAGACAAGTTCACCCGTGGGGAAACTCCGCGTACACAAAGAGCAGCCCAAAATAAATTACTGAAAATGTACATCCTCGAGAAGTTGCAATTCCCGTATTTCTATTGAGCGTCATCTGCACTCGAGTGAAACAGAATTGCAATAACAACCGTTCGGTAGCAGTGTCTGTGCCACCCACACTCTCATCCCACTTCCAATTTCAGCAGTTTTCATTCAATTAAACTGTTCCTTTTGAAAACCGCCACCGTCTGCTTCAAAGTTCATATTCCTTCATCCATCCAAGCGCGTCCAATCCTCTACGGGAGAAAAGGAAAGAAAACAAATTGGGACAAGTTTCAAGTTGCTTGCTGGAAATGACAGAGACTCTTCAACACATCGTCGTCGGTCGCCGTCGTCTTCTGTGTATGTGTTTATTTTGATTTCGAAATAAAATACGAACCCAAGCCAAATCCAATGGCAAAAGCAGCACCAAATTTTCCGACTCTTATTTCAATTTCCATTTCATTTTCCCCCCAGTCTTTCCAGCCGGGCAGCAGCGGGTGGGATGTGATGGCACTCTGTCTTTCGCTTCGTCCTAATTGAAGAGTCATTGCCGGCAGTAGACTGACTGTCGACACGCCCGGCTGGGGATGATCAGTTTTAGGTGAATTGCTTTTTCGCTTGATCCTGAATGGTTTCGTGATGCAAGTGGATTTTTTTTTTTTTGAGTTCATGATTCAGGATTGGAATGTTAGTTGAACAATCAGAAGAGCTTTAAAGCACAAACGAAGTGACAGACGGAGTGGCTCGAAAACTTTGGTGAAGAATCTGCTATTGCAATTTTTCAGCGGACCACCAAATGTACTAGAATGTTTTGGTTCTATCACTTTCACTCTACTGAAAACTGAAATGCATGAAAAAATGACAAAATGATACACTCTATGAACACTGTCAAAGATCATTACACACAAAATCAACTTTGTTCAAATCAAAACAAAAATACTAGCACATCTGGTGGCTGATGGCACAATAGACTGGCCCACAAAAATAAAAGTTCTAATTTTCCACGGGCCAACCTCTAGATTTGTGCCTTTAGGTGAGAAAACTATTATCTGAAAGTGTTAGCTCATTTAGTTGTAGGATGAGCTGGCGCTTTTAGCATAGAGGTAACTCTAAGAATAGAAGGTCCCGAAATAACATGCTCAACTTTTTGGCTCAGCTCTGGTACTATCTTCGGTCCCAAGCTAATCGATTCACCCCTCGAAACATAGGAAAATTCACTAACCTCTCATTTTATCTGTCAAACTTTCATAGCGAATCAAAACAAACATAGTGTAGTACTGGAATTTATACTAGAATGGGGTACGTTAGTCGATTTGCTTGGGACCAATTGGCTATTCAAGTAGTGAGCCAATTTAAAATCGTTAGTTTCGTATTGATTGTTGCTTTTAGTTTGCATTTTATATAGAGATTTTGAATTAAATACATGAAAAAGTAACACTCCTACAATCTATCGATCATAAAAAAAGTTTCCTTATTATCGATAAATGAATATCTTAATGTGGTATGATACCAGATTTCGGTATGCTTGTGGTATAAAACCTTGTTTTGATATTGTTCAGTTATCGAAATATTTTGCAAAATATCAAATGAATACCAAAATAACAAAATGTGATCTTTCAGTTTTTAGACAATAGTGGTGGATGCGCCAATGTGAAAAAGTCACCCCCATAGCGGTTCAAAATGAGATGAACGCTCTAAAACAGAGTCAAAAGTCAATATCTGACTTTGGCTCAGAAATTGAGAAATTATCAGCAAAATTAGCGGCAGCCCATGTATCAATGGGTACCTTTCCAAATGAGGCTGCAGCTGTAAACATTGTGGAGCCAATTGCGGTTCAATCATTTATTACTGGGTTGAAAGACCCGTCGACCAAGTTTTTCCTGAAAGCGAGAAATCCGTCGACTTTAAATAAGGCAATTTCCGATGCATTGGAATGTCAGACGACAAATGCTGACACTACCAATGATAATATGATGGCACTGTGGTGCACATCGAATGGAATGAGCCGCAACAATAGCTTTCATGCGAGAGGTCGCAGAGGTTACGGTGGATATCGCGGGTACCAAAATACTCGTGGTAGAGGTTATGGACGTGGTAGAGGACAATACCAAAACTACCACCAGAGAAATTTTGACCAAAATTACCAGCCTCAATTCCATCATAATGGAAGAGGGAGTAGAGTCAACCGACCACAACGTTTCGGAAATTACAGTAATACTGGTAACGGTCACAGGGTACATACGGCAAATGTGGTTGAACCCGTTCCAGAGCAACCACGTGAGCGTCAACATGTTAACCAAAATCAACAACCCAATCAGCCAGCAGAGGAGGCTAATCTAATTGATCTCTTTCGCTAATTTTAGCGCAAAAAAAGCTCTTCGAGCAAAATTTATGCTGTTTAGCAATAAATTAGAATTAATAGTAGATAGTGGAGCGTCCTGTTGCCTACTTGATAAAAAGTATGTTCCCGAAGGTATAAAAATTGACAGGTCAGTTACCATTGAAGTCAGAGGAGTAAATGGGATTTGTAGACACAACATTGGGACATGATTCAATAGAATATCCCATTAGGTTTCACATTATGGAACAGTTGCCATCAAATGTTATAGGTTTGATTGGCACTAATTTTTTGAAAAAATTTGGAGCTCGAATTGATTTTGCTAAAATGAAAATGGAATTCACTATTCCAAATGGAAGGTTAAATTTCACAATACCCCCCAGATTTGGATATATAACATACATTGAGACAGAGTTAGTCGAAACATGTGTGGTACTGAGCCAGAGGGTTCAACCAAATGTGTTCGTGGGTAATTCTATAGCACATCCTGTAAATGGTAGAATACCGATTCAGCTGGTAAATATTTCAAATAAACCAGCCATTATTAAAGATTTTACACCAAAGATAGCATTAGCTAAAAATTATAATGTTATCGAATTAAAAAATGACGAGCAAAAATTTAACAAAGATCGAGCGAATAAATTATTGGATGAATTGAAATTGAATCACTTATCTGGTAGTGATGAAAAATCAATTAAGCAAATATGTTTGAAATACTCAGACATATTTTGTCTAAAAGGCGATAAGCTTGGTACAACCAATGTTTATTGCCCGTCATTGACGGTGAAGCCAAATAGTCAACCGTCATTTTGTAAACCATATAGACTTCCCTTTTCTCAGAAAGAAGAAGTCTGTAAACAAGTGGAGAATATGTTAAAAGATGGAATAATAGAAGAAACGAAATCAGAGTGGAATAGCCCTTTATTGCTAGTTCCCAAAAAAATTCGACAATGATGTAAAGAAATGGAGGTTAGTTATTGACTATAGAAAAGTTAATACAAATCTCCAGGACGATAAATTCCCATTGCCTAATATAGAGGAAGTTATTGATTCCCTCGCGGGTTCTCAATATTTTACACATTTGGATCTGTCACAAGGGTATTATCAATGCGAATTGAAACCTGAAGACAGACCAATAACAGCGTTTGCGACGCCATCTGGTCAGTATCAAATGACCAGGTTACCGATGGGATTGAAAACAAGCCCATCTTCCTTTTCTCGACTTATGACAGTTGCAATGTCGGGATTAAATTTAACAAAATGTTTAATTTACCTTGATGATATTATTGTGTTTGGAAAAACATTCGACGAACACAATAAAAATTTGATTTCTGTTTTTCAACGATTACGAGAAGTTAATTTAAAGCTTAACCCTGCTAAATGCAATTTTTTGAAGCAGGAGTTGATTTATTTAGGACATTTCATTTCGAAGGAAGGAATACTGCCTGATCCCCAAAAAATTGAAGTTATTAAGAATTGGAAAAGTCTTTCTTCGGCTGATGAAGTTAAAAGATTCGTGGCTTTTGCGAATTATTACCGAAAGCATATTCGGAACTTTGCAAAATTCTGCTCACCTTTGAATTAATTAACCCGAAAAGGTATTGAATTCAATTGGAGTTCAGAATGTGAAACCGCTTTTCAGAATTTAAAAGAGCAATTTATCAACCCCCCTGTTTTAGATTACCCAGATTTCAGCGAAGAAAATATTTTTAAACTTCACACTGATGCATCTGGTTATGGAATCGGTGCAGTGCTTAGCAACAAAAATGACAAACCAATAGCTTTTGCCAGCAAAGCGTTAAACAGTGCTGAGAAGAATTATTCGACCATCGAAAAGGAACTCTTAGCCATAGTCTGGGCAATTCAACATTTTCGTGTATATTTATATGGACGAAAGTTTGAGTTGTACACCGACCATAGGCCATTGGTTTACCTTTTCACACTAACAGATCCCTCGAGCAGGTTGACGAAATTTCGTCTGGCTCTCGAGGAGTACAATTTTGATGTCTTTTACAAAAAAGGTTGTGAAAATACTGTGGCGGACGCGCTATCACGCATTTCAACAACTGAATTGAGAAGCATGCATGAGAAACTCAGCACTGAGGTATTCGTTACAACCGAATGCAATCGAACAAGGAAAAACTTAATTCTTCCAAGGAAGTGGTCACAGGCCATGACACTTCAAATGGAAGGGTAGTTCAACTTAAAGTTCAAACTAACAACTTTGCGGATAACGTTACATGGATTCCTGAAAAAGAAGAGATTATCATAAAACCAACAGATACCTTGGTCTCGCTACGACGAACAATGGAGGAACTTGGTTTAGTATGCAAAAAATATAGTGTCCAAGAATTATATATTAAAGTAAATGATGAACGTGCGCACAAATTTTATGAAAACATTATTAAACATGATTTAACAAAAAGGGTACCCTCTATTTTGAAAA